TGAATCAAAATGAAGGCTTTGGAGGCTTTCTATTTCCCATAATCAACTTTCCATAGAAGCATCAATACGGCTGTGTATTTCAGAGAATGATCTTCTACCATATAAAATAACTTTTCCAACATTATTTCTGAGAAACCAAGATGCTCCACTTTCAGATTTGGACTTGTTTCAAGCGTATCCAATGTCGCATTTTAGCCAGTCAAGAGGAGGAGGTTTCCAGCCAAAGATGATTTTCTTTCTCCTTTCAAGGTCGATAGCTTTTTCACTATTTTTCAATTGCCTTGATAAAAAGCTAATGGTTTACTTCTTCAAACACTTTATATAGAAGATCTGGAGCTTTTTATATGTTTCCTTAAAAAAGATGCAAATTTCTGTTTTTCCATCTGCTTCAAAGGATCTAGGGTCTAACTTTACCAATTTTCCATGGAATAGAGATAATGTATTTAGTCTTCGAAACATAGAAAATGTTGGAGTAGACAGAGGAATCTGAGAACCTTGTATGAGGCCGAGGGAAATAACTAATACCCAAGAAAAAATCGTCACAAGGTAAAAATGCAGTATGTAATCAAATTGTAAAGATGATTGCTGTAATTTTACTATAAATATGACACTAAAATTGTCTTTTACTGTGAAGCTAGATTTAACTATTTAAAAAAATGACTACATTTTAAGTAATTCACTGAAATATAAATAACGGGTTAAGTTAAAAAAAATATATATATAATAATGGGTATCAGTAAAATTTTAAAAAAATTTGCTCAATTGTTTTTTTAAATGTTATTTCTCAGAACTTTAGTAGTCATTCCACTTACATAATTGATATGTATTTCAAACTAAAACGATAAACTCAAAATAAAAAAAAATATTTTTAGATTCTGTATTTTGGCATATATATGTGACAGTCTCATCAAATATATACAAAACAAGTATTAATATCTGAGCAAGTATAATAATTAATATCACAGTCAAAATGTTAAACTAAATAGCATAGTTGAAATAGAATATATGGTCATTCATCCTTTCTGCCAACTCACCATTCCAATTATAAGCCACGTAGATTAAGGATTAGATGGTTAATTTTATTTTTTTACCTTAAGGGTATGTTTATTAGATATTCTTAAGATGGAGTGTTTAACTTATGATTTGACATATTTTTTATTTTATTTTTTTTGGTTAAGAGCTGACTCTTAAATAAGAATTTAAAAAAATAGTTCTTAATTTTACTTAGTTAAAGTTAAAAAATGGTTTTTATATTACGCTAAAAATCTCATTCTAGAAACCATGTAATAAGATGGTTTATTTAAGTTCGTAACGTTTATATATGCTAGTTTGTATTTCAACTGAACTCCCTTTTATTTACAGAAATTATGTAAATAGTTCCAAAACAGTCATGCACTAATAAATACCTTTTTTTGCTTTGGCTTACAAGTGTCAAAAATATATGCAGATTTCATATTTCATCGTTTTGGTTCATACAGATCATGTCCTATATAACAATACGATGAACATCCTCCAGTAACACACACGAGAAAAAAACCTATCATAGCTAAAACACGAGATAGATATGGAGACTGTAGTGGTGATTGTGGGAGCTGGACCAGCGGGTTTAGCAACATCGGTTTGTCTAAACCAACATTCAATCCCAAACGTGATTCTAGAGAAAGAAGACATCTATGCTTCACTATGGAAGAAACGAGCCTACGACCGTCTCAAACTTCACTTAGCCAAAAACTTTTGTCAGCTACCTTTCATGCCGCATGGTCCCGAATAGGCCTGGGCATTTTACCCGGACCCGAAGACCCGACCCGAAACCGACCCGAAAAAACTGGGTCCGGGTAGGAACCGACCCGAGCAAATTATCCTATCGGGTCTTGTTGTGGAGGACCCGCGGGTCTTGGACCCGACCCGGATCGAACCCGAAACCCGATGGGTACCCGAATTAATAGTTTAATTAAATAAAATGCATTAAGGGGGAGTCGAAGATGGGTTGTTTCTATAGAGAGTAAGGGGTCAACCACTAGGAGACAACAAATTGTTGTTGTATCTCTCATAGTTTAATATATATACACATTTTAATATAATAAAAACACAAATTTTGAATAAAATTTTGAATATTTTCGGATATATAAGTATTTTCAGATTTTTTTTTTATATATTTAGGTCGAACCCGAACCGAACCCGACCCGAAACCGAGCCGAATCCGAACCGATAAATTCTAATTACCCGAATGGGTCCAACTATCTAAGACCCGACCCGACCCGGACCCGGTACGACCCGAACCGAACCGAAACCGAAAATTTGAAATTACCCTATCGGGTCCTAAACTCCTAGACCCGAAAGACCCGGACCCGAAAGGACCCGACCCGAACCCGACCCGACTACCCGAATGCCCAGGCCTAGTCCCGAAGTGCTCATGGCAATGACATTGGCTAGGTTAGTACAATTTATATCAATACTAGTATTATGGCCCCTGCTATGCAGGAGCACATTATTTTTACCAATATAACATGTTAACATGAATGGTGTCTAATATACATGTTTTTGCTAAAACATAATAAGTGTTAATTATTATGATTGCTAAAGTATACACTATTTATATATTTTTAAAAAGTTTAAATTTTTTTTATTAAGTATGATTAAATAGTTAAGATATACACATTTTTAAGAAACAAATATTTTATGAATTTATAACAATTAAACATTATTATTATTTTTGTTATTAAAAACACCAACCAAACAAAATGAAAGAGAACAATTCTTCTTGCTTATGGCTTTCATTTTTTTTCTTCGATCTTGTTTATATATGGAAATTTTAACAAATGTCAATGTTGAAATGAAATTTAATCAACATATTTCATAAATAACATTTAATTGTATAAGCAACTGTTTGTTGTAGGGATCTGATCCAAGAAATAAACCGAAATGTAATATACGATTAGAAAAGCGACAACTCACCAGTTGTTAGAAACGCCATTAGCGTTCATGAACTCAGGTGTCTAGATGCTATTTTTTCTTATCTTCGAGTCAGCCTTTATTGGTGCTTTATTCCAATCTTTTCTTATGCTGTTTTTATATTCAATGAAAATTTTGTCTGCATATAAATATGATAACAACTTGTATCACACAGAATGCAGTTAAAAAACTTGTAAACATTGACGTTAAAAAAAGATCTTTGCACAATTAGTTGGAATAAAAATGATAAGGATCATCCATCCTCAACTTCGTCTCCTCGCTCTACATGTCAATGATGTGGTGCCAATCATACATAAAATCTTAACAAAACTCTAAAAATAAAAAGATAGTTTCACCTCTTTGTCAGAACCCAAACATTTTTACCAAAAAAAACTCTAAAAATAAGTTATGCAAAATAGCTCAACCTTCATTTACAAAAAGAAAAAAATAATAAGCTAAACTCACTGTTGTTTTTCAAGGGAGAGTGTACGTTGTTTTCAATTTATTTCTGGTTTCTTTGACTTCGTGTTATACTTTCTCCAGTTTCACGTTTTCCTTTACTATGAACAGATCGTTTTTAAAGGTTATTGCTCGAATATTGTGGAGGAAATAAGATTAGAAGAACCAAGAAATTAAGAGTCCGATTGGTGTCTAGGTTTTGAGGGCTTTGTGGTTATGTAAAGCTATTAAAACCAAATATTTGTCTACCACTTTTTTAAACTTCAGAAATTTGTAAAACCTTAAAAACTCACTTAAAAGAACTGGTTTTTTGTTCACTTTTTTGGACAGTCACTTTTTAGGATTTTACAACATTCTCTCTCTTCTTTTTTTTTAACAAAAACGTGAAATGCTTTTTTTTGTTCATTTTCTATTAAAATAAAAGAAACAATAAGTATAATAATTAATAAATTCATCGTTCTTAGTTAGTTTAGGTTTTACCATCAAGAAAAAGTCATACCTTACTATTAATTTGTTAAAGACTAAAAAATATTGTATAAATAATTGAAAATATTTACGAATGATTCAAAAAATATAATAATTGAAAGAAACAATGAATATAATGATTAATAAATTCATTTTCATTGGTTAGTTTAGGTTTTACCATCAAGAAAAAATCATACTTTACTATTAATAAACTATTAATTTGTTAAAGATTATTTTTTTGTTTTATTTAATAAACTGTAATCTTATTTTAAATTTAATTTTAAATTTTTTTATTTATTTAATAAATTGTTATCTTATTTTAAATTTAATAAGATTAATTTTGTTGGTTACAATTTCAAATTTTTACAATAAAGAAATAAAATATGTTAGATAAATTTGATTGATTTTATGTTTTAAACTACCCAATATATTTTATGGACTTGTACAAATAGAAATAGATATAAACAGATAGGTAATATATTTTGGAAAATGAACTATGAACTAATATTTATAACAGTTACAGCTTCTAAAACATTGACTACCAATCAAGCTTTTCATTTTTTCTAAAGTAACAGTTACAGTTTCTAAAGCCAAAATCTCTAGAGTCACAATTTTAAAATCAAAGTTTAAAGTAAAAGTCATTACCAGGGAAATAGCGTGAATTGAGTGTGTAACTACTGAACGGTTTATTCACTATTAATGAAAAAAATCTTGAGCAACAAAAACATTTTCTAAGAATTAATAAATTTCTTATTATGAAAAAATTAAATAAGACACTTGTCATTCACAAGATTGTCAATTAACTTGTGTTTTATAGTATAATAAAGGATATTTGGTTTCTTCAACTTTAACAAAGAAAATAAATCTTAATTTTATCAAAATATAGTAAACGCTTAGCATATACCTATTTATTAAGTTTTTTTTTGTTAAAATTTATCATTTTTATCAACTTCATTCTCTAAACTTACGCAGAGACATGTATTGACCAAAGAAGAGGTTTATTGGGGAATGACACTGTTGAAGTATTTACCGGTAAGAGTGGTTGATATATTGGTGATGATGATGGTTAAGACAAGATTTTTTTTGTATGGAGATCCCTCCAAGTATGGACTCCTCCGACCAAAACAAGGTCCTTTTTCCACAAAACTCTTTACAGGCAAAACTCCAGTAATCGATGTGGGAACTGTCCACAAGATTCGTGAAGGAAAGATTCAGGTACCTTCTAATGTCCATCAAATTTATTTTCATCTTTGTTAATTGGTTGCATTTGAAATGATTCAATAACTAGAAACTATATATATATATATATATATATATATACATATGTACAGGAAGTATTTATTTTAAGTGAAAATGAAGAAACACTATATAATAAAGGACAATGGAAAAAAAAGAAAGGAAAACGGTATAAAAAGTACTGTAAAATTTTGTATAAATAAATCAGAAAAAGAAACTGACTTCTAGCATGAATTTTTTTTCTGTTTCTAAAAACAGTGTAAAATTTATATCTTCTATCTTTTTCATGTCATAAAATGAAAACCTTTATCTACCAAAAATTAGTGAAATCTACTTTTCCATATCATCAAAATCAAAAGATTTATATTTTTGTTTATAATGTTTTTCTGTAAACTGTTTTCACTACTTTATGTATATTTTTCGATGTTACAAAAAAAAGTATATTTTTCTATAAAACATTATTACTTTATTATATATATTTTCCAATAAAACATGATTACTAACTATTGTTGCACTAAAGGTTATCAATGGTGGCATAGAAAGCATCGAAGGCAAGACATTGACGTTTGAAAATGGACTGAAACAAGATTTTGATGCCATTGTGTTTGCTACTGGTTACACAAGCTCCGTATGCAACTGGTTAAAGGTATTCCCAAAAACCATATACACAAAACAAATTAAAAATGCATTAACGTAACCAATTGAATAAATATGATAACGGTTATGTGTTTTGTTAAACTATAAACACTAGAACTATGAGTACGTGATGAAGGACGATGGCTTCCCTAAAAACCCAATGCCGAAGCATTGGAAAGGCGAGAATAATCTTTATTGTGTTGGATTTTCAAGAAAAGGGATCGCTGGAGCCGCTCAAGATGCTATGTCCGTCGCCCAGGACATCAATTCTATCTTGGCAGCTACTAGATGATACAGAATTTTTGAAATAATGTAGAAACCATTGTGTCGGTTTTGGTTGAGTCTAGTGTTCATCTTAATGTTCTTGTCTGTAAGTATGTTTTGTCTGTGGATGAATCAGTATAATGGTGCATATATTCATGTATAGTAAGATGAACAATATATGTTATTCATCAGAATAAAACTTTGTTTGATTCAGATATGTAATTAGTATTTTGTATCATAGTTGTTCTTATGTTAGTGTTGACCCAGATAAAGTTAAAACCATATCATAACTTCCAATGTGCAACCGTGCAATGTATAATTGAGTATAGAGATCAAGCTTAAATGTTTAAAAATGAAAATAAAACAAGAATGGTTCTATATATTAATTAGTTTTTTGTACTTTATAACAAAAACTAGTTATTTATCTAACATTCTTAGAAAATATGGATCTAATCAAGTATCAAGACGAATATATCTATTATATAATAACTCAATTTTGCCTCACCAAGACATGACACCTAAGCATTCATCTTCATGACACATTAGCATAAAAACTAAATTTCTGAAATTACTACGACTTAATCAATGAAAAATTGACTTGTTGGAATCAGTTAGGAGACAAGAGGATAGAAAAAGTAAGTTTGATCTAGTTTAAAGGTGTAAAAATCTTTAGACACATAAAATGTGTGTTGCAATTACATTGTATATTTAAGTGTAAATGAAAACTCAAAAAAAGTCTATAATTTTTTTTTTCTATATGTATTGATAGTGTATATCATTCGTTCAATATTTGATCAAACTGAACATTATAGTATAATACTTTTATTTATTGAAATAGTATAGTATACTATTTTATATATTAGTTTTTTTTTGTACTTTATAACAAAAACTAGTTATTTATCTAACATCAACTATAAATAAAAGAGCAATATCCTCAACATTCAGCATATCCACGCCACATCATTGAGTGTTATGAGTTTTTTTTTTGTTTGAAGGGTATTCTTTGCTGATTTCATGCGTGGCCCAGCAAACCCAATTCATCCGAAGTGTCGTCACCTTTCCTCATCCTCTTTTTCATTAACTCTATTTTGTGTCCAGGAATCGTCAATCCTTTCCTCTCCCTCTACTTTGTTTCTGTTTCACGATTCTGATCTAAGATCAATCAATTCGCTGTCCACTTTCATAGTCTCCTCTTTTTTTTTTTTAATCAGAATCTATGTACCTCTTTGGCCTACTGGTTCATAGTATGCAATTACGTCTAGATAATAGTCTTTTCTAACATCCTCTCAGCGAGAATGGCTCTTTAATTCTTACTAATCAAACAATTCACTGTCCACTTTCATAGTCTCCTCTTTGCTTTTTTTTTATAGCAGATTCTCTGTACTTCTTTGGCTTACTGGTTCATAGTATTGAAGTTATGAGTTTTTAAGGCTACTAAGACAAATGTTGTAATATAAATGATTGTCGAACCAATTCTAAGAGATTTCAAAACACTGAGAATGCAAGTACTCACTTAATCTAAGTGCAATCGAATAATCAAATAGTTTTAAACTATGACTAATACTAGAGTGCAATGACAGAATAAGAAAATCAAAAATTGAAATGACTTCTTTTGATTAAGAGAAGGGACAACTCATGGGAGTAGGGATTAGACGTTGGGTGATCAAACTTCGAACTAAGGATAGCAAATGATCAATTAAACTATCAACCTTAAGTCCAGACACATCTCTAAGCAAGCTCTATGTCTAGATGAATGCTCATTTACTAACATAACTCAAGCATCAAATGTCTTCGATTGAATGTTACAGTAGTAATCCTTAAAAACAAGTCTATTAGCCATCTTAACACCTTTACAACAAATGTCTTTGGTAAAGTATGTTAAAAAGCTTAGGAGAGTTAGTTCAGGCATTTTATTGAACACCTTGTGGGTGGGAAATGTCTAAAACTCAACCCTTGAGTGACCAACTCAAAAGATGCATTATGAATACTCTACTAGCAAGGAATAAGAGAAATCTACACTAAACATCCTAGTTCTAGCCTAATCACCTTTAAATTCCCTATCCCATGAATTCAAAGGTGGATTACTCACTAATCTTCATGATCCCACTTAAACCGATATTGGATTCAAGCTTAATCATGTAAAGATAAGTAGATAATGCAATCAAATAAAACAGGATCACAAGAACAATGATTCAAAGAAATGAACTTTCCAAGAGGTTTTGTGTTTTCTCTTCAAAACTGAAAGATAATCTGCCTGGTAGGCTTACAGAGGTACTTAACTTAGGTTTAGAAAATGTAAAATCATAAAACAATGACCAAAAGGTCCCTAAACCTAAGTTAAGGACCATAGATAACTTAAGTATCATCTAAACAAAGACGCGCAGCGACCTGGCCTCGTCGCTCCGAGAGGTCGCTATGGCTGGGAGTGACCTATGGTCATCGCTCCGAGACGTCGCTCCCGTGTCCTTTTTTCGCGTCTTGAGTCGGCCAGAATTGTGAGCGACCTAGGAGCCTCGCTCCCGACGTCTCTTTGGATTGGAGCGACCTTGGTAAGTCGCTCCGGCAGGTTGCTCCATGCTCCTTTTTCGTGCAAACAAGTGGCAAATGCCGAGCGACCATGACGTCTTGCTCTAGAGGTCGCTCTAGCTTGGGAGCGACGTCATGGGGTTGCTCTGGCACGTTGCTGCAGCCCTACTCATCTAGTGATCACTTTTAACTCTTCTTTTGAGCCTCAAATGCACCCAATCACCTCCAAGAACTCTAAGGATACTCCAATACCTAATAAGAACTCATGTATGCAAAATGCAACCTAAAAATGACTAAATCTTAATCTATATGATCAAAATGCATATGGATGAATGGATAAAACAATGGAAATATGCAAGATATCATATATTTATGAAAATAAAATATTAGATGTGCGATGTTGGTGTTCTAGTTGTTAGAATTCAGAAAATAATAATTTTAACACAAAATTTAGATAAATAAAAATGTTTTTTTTTCCTTTTTGCAGTCACAAACAATGATATTTGAGTTCTTAATCAAATATTTTTTTTTTGTTTAAAGAAAATTAATTTTTTAATTTTTCAATTTTTCAAATAGGATTCTTAGAAATACGGGTCGTCTGGTTCTGATCACTGATCACGCTTCCTATGCTGAAGGATAAAAAGGATACCATTTTTGTCAATGAAAAAAAAAACGCCAGACAAATAATCATGAGTGTACCAGTCCATAACCAATGGTTTTCTTTTAGATGTTATCTACAGAAGAAGGATCTAAACCAAATTCTAGAAAAGATATTCAGGAGCAAAGTTACGAAGAAAAACAATAAGAAAAAATAGACAAACAAAATGACAAGAAATTACAAATGCTTACTATGATGTGTATATATATATATATATATTTTTGGGTAAAATTCTTTTTTTGAAATAAATTTGAGTTCATTTAGCGATTGCATGGGTGATGGATATGACATGCAATAACTAAATTTAGTTTTTCCTTCCAAATCAACTGAATGGGACAGGTTCTAAGTTTATGAAATGATTAACCCAACAAAATTAGTATTCTTTCTCAAAACAAAAACAAAAACCAATTAGTATCCTATGATATCAAAAAACTATATTATAATGCATTTACAAAGTTCCACATAACCTTTTTTAAGGTAGTAATATCTATTAAAAACATATTAACTTTTATTTTAAATTAAATTCAACAACTAAGAAAAAAATAAGGACTGATAGTAAACAAATAGCATCGCAATATTTTCAATTTTTTTACAGTTCGTTGGTTAATAAAAGAACGCAAAATCTTTCAAAATTCTTTTTTTTTTTAGAAAATTTCTCCAAATTTTTTTTTTAGAAATCCAAATATGTAAATTTTGCTAGAATAAGATGTTTTCCAAAAGACATATTATATTTTTTTTTAAATGATGGGTCAAACTGATATAATGTGTATCAGAAAATTTTATATAATTAGCTTTCAAATATTAAAACGAGAAGATATAAATTCTTAACGATTGAAAATAAAACCCTTATAATAAGAACTTATAAAAGATTATTGAACCACAAGAGTTACACTGTTTCAGTTTGAACATAACTTAATGTATAATATTTATTATAATAAACATATATTATTTTAGTTTGCGTAAATAAACATAAATATACAACTAATTTTGGGCAGTTAGCTTAATGCTAAATGTTTCCATATTTCTATAAACAATTTGATGTTTACAACGAAAAAATCTAAATTAAAAAATGTCATACCAAAGATATATACAAATTAAAATTTAAAATTTAAAATTTAAAACGTATAATCTACGTGTAGCGTTTTTAAAAACTCTAGTTCTTAGAAAGAATGTATATAATCAAGTATCAAGACGAACATCTATTTTATAATAACTCAGTTTTACCTCACCAGAACATGACACCTAAGCGTCCATCTTCATGACACATTAGCATAAGAAATAAATTTCTAAAATGATTATTATGACTTAATTAATGAAAAATTGACTTGTTAGAATTGTGTAGTAATTGAAAGTGCTGAATTTCACAGAGCTGATGAGGTGGAGGATGATAGAATCAAGGTTTTCATGAGGATGATAGCTGCTAAGCATGACTTCAGTGACCATATTTGGGAGTTCGAAGAGACACTAGAGTTTTCTTTTGGGGTTAATGACAAACAAGGAGAGGCTGATGGAGTATCTGAGGATGATTGAGTATCTGGGAATGATGATGGATCTAAGACTGATGAAGATGCTCCCAGGAATGATGAAGAAGATGGGAGTGATTAAGAGTTTCAAACTCCAAGAGGAACATGGAGCACAAGCTCGGGTGGTAAAAAGGGAAAGAAGAGGCTCCCGGATCGTGAAATGGAAAAAAGGAAGCAAAAGGTTCTCTGTACCAGCGCCAAACAAGCGTCGTTTAATGAGGGTATGAAGAGCTTTGTGGCCGAGTTGTTTCAGCAGAGTTTTTCTGCAATGGAAGAGAAGCTACATAAACAGATGGGTGAAAGATTTGAGAAACTGCAGTCTGAGCTTAGAGGTTCTGTTAAGGATGCAACCGTGGATGCAACCGTTGATGCTGCAGAAGTAGAGCCCTCGGCGACTAAGCCTTCTCCTACCAAGCCATCTTCTAGCAAGCCATCTCCTACCAAGCCTTCTCCTACCAAGCCATCGCCTTGCAACCCAACTCATACCAAGCCATCTCCTAGCAAGCCAGATCCTAGCAAACCCTCAACTAGCAAGACAACATCTACCAAGCCATCGCCTAGCAATACAACGTCTATGAAGCCATCTCCGAGGAGGTCCAATCGCTTGGTAAGCATGGTAAAAAACTAGTCTTCACCACTCTCTCTCAAATGTTAATGTGTGTCTGTGTGTAATATATTTATTCAATGCTTATGTAATTCGCTGTGTGAACTTGTTTTGGTATGTAAGATAATGAAACTATGTGTAAGATAATGCCTAGAAAAACTATGCTTATGTTTGTGTTAATGAACTTTGTGTACTTGTTATTATACCAGCGTTTAATAATTTATCTTCAATTAACAGGATTAGAATTTGAGCGAAGCAGAAGATATGGACATAGGGATAAATATCGAAGGCCTTGAAGACCTTTCTAAGGCCTCAAACGTGCCAGGTTTTGATCCATCGCAGACCACTAAGGAAAATTAACCATGTGATTGGTGGACTCCGATGAGTACAGTCCAAAAAATAAAGGTTGAACCAATGCAAGAAAATAAAGATCCACCACCGACCAAGTGGAATAAATGGCAAAGGAAACTTGAGCATAGTGACTCACCCATGCCAACTGATGGTTCTCCACAGTCCACATTGTATTGGTTCAACGAAGAATCATGGGATAGATTCACTGAATGGTCAATCAATCCAACAAATTTATGGATTGGTCCTACAGCCTTTAATATGACCGTAGCTACAAGAGTAGGTCCTGAAAAATGTCTTGGAGATGAGGTATATATTGATTTCGTTCTTGTATAAGGTTGAATATGGGAGTTTCTTTCAATACTGCATTGATTTATTTTCCTCGTAAATATTCAAGAAATGGATGTGTTCATGTATATCTAGCGAGTGAAAAATTCTTTGAGGCATTGGACACCAGACCATGTTGCTTTCATGCCCGCCTATTTTTGCCTTCAAATTGAAAAAGCATACCTCATCTTTACAAGTAACAAAATAGGCTATATATTAGGCGATATTCTTCTAGCTTACGGAAGAGGAGAACTTCCATTTCATGGGCGGACTAATAAACTATGGGGTGTCGACGTTGATTGTCTCTACTTTCCTCTGTTTGTCGGAGGTAATATTCCTTGGTCATTTTTCACAGGTATTCATTTAGATCACCGTATTAAAATATTTAGCAATGTTCAATGCATGTAATCATTGGATAGCTGTATGCGTCAATTTCATTGAGAAAACAGTTGAAGTATTTGACTGCTTGCAGGGAAGAAATAGGCAATACGTGGAGAAGTTTGCTGTTATGATTCCTAGGATAGTAAAAACTGTTGCACCACCTGTAAACAAAAAGTATCTACTCCTGGAAAAGTATTCTATCGTAGAGGTACCTTTGAAGGCTAGATTGAACAAGAGTTTATGTGATTGCGGGGCATATGCACTCAAACATTTGGAATGCCAATTCCTTGGCCTTGACCTCAGTTTAGTGGATGACGAAATCATCCAGGATTGTCGTCAAAAGATTGCTCTGGATATATGGGAGGCTGCAAAAGATCTCATTTTAATTGAGTTGATGACACAATATGTGCCTTCTAATTTTGAGTCATCTATTGTATTAGACCTTGTAGAAGACTGATTATGTGTGTTTGGTTTACTTTTAGTTTGGTTTTTCAGCTGATGAAACTACTCTGTTTGGTTTATGTAACAAAATAAGTATGTTTTTTTAAAAGATTTATGTGACAACACTAGTTGTTTTTTTTTATGATGTATGAAAGATTTGCTATAGTCAACCCGAACCCCTAACTAAACCCTAAACTAACCCTAACAAACACTAAACTAAACTCTTACTAAACACTAAACTAACCCTAAACCCTAACAAGATATCGAGTACCAAACAACGGGGAATTCCCACTAGATGCAGATGCAGTGAAGGCGCTGTTCTTTTCACTTCAGAAACATGGGAGAATCCACGTCGATTATTTCACTGTTGTCCGCTGGGATCTGAGAAGGTTTGTCCTTTAATCATATAATTCTGAATTCAGTATAGTCTAATTGTATGTTTGAATTTCATGGTGAAGGACATAACACACTTGTTCAAATGGACTGATAAGTCAGTTGTTGAAGAAATTGAAGACTTGCAGGAAGTGGTTGACGTGGTGCTCATTGACAATATCCAGTTTCAGAATTCAATGAGAGCTTCTAAGATCCTGCTGAAACAACATGAGAGTAGAATTGGAGGTATGGAAGACGCAATTGCACGCTGTGAAGTGAAGACCATCGAATGCAGTAGGAAATTAAGGATCATAAAAGCTTTGTTTTTGTGTTGTTTGGTGATGGTATTCATGTACATCATGTATCCATGATTGTTTGTGTGTAATACATTGTTCATCTGTTTTTCTTTCAAATAAATGTAACGCTATGTTTGTTGGTGATTATCATCAACTTGAACCAAATGTTGCAAACACCAAATTGTTTTGTCAAATACCAAATTGTCAAATAGGCTGCTGAACATAAAATTCCAAAGATCACACAAAGATCCCGACCACACACCATTAACTAAATAGGAATATCCCATGTTCCTTTCTTGTGTCCTGCCATACCACAACGGCTGCACTTGTGCTTTTTATTCTTTTTTGATCCTTGAGAAGATTTTATCTTGTCTTCTACTATTTTATACCTTCTTTTTACTGGTCTACCAGCACTCTTTGTTGTCTCTGGTGGTAATACCTTTGCTAGTTTTACCTCAGCTGGGACATTCCATTCATGCTCTGGAACTGCTATTGGATTAATGCATTCCACATAGACGGTTCTCCATGTTAGTGGTGTATACGCCATCCGTAAATCTGTGTATTTCCATACCTATGTAAAAAAAAAATAGAGATTGAGTATTGTCTATGTGCTACAAAACACTGACCATGTAATAGGTCCCAAGATCATCTATTTGCACTTAAATACCTCAAGAATAAATTGCTGGAATGGCGTGTCGGCAAGGTATTTTTCCTATATTGTACTTCCCACATGTGCATGTTCTCCTTTCCAAATCAATATGACAACCATATGTGTCTCCTTTCACAACTAACCTGAAATTGTCAACCTTGTCAACCTGAAATCCTTTTGCCTTCACAATTCTCCTATCAATGTTTTTCTCAACCTTAACGGTTAAAGGATCCAGCTGCTTAGAGCTTACCATTCGACGCTCGTAGAACCACCGGGTCATTATTTCTCTTATACTATCTATCAAAGAAATAACTGGAAATTCTCAAAGTGATCTCATAACAGAATTTATCGACTCTGCAGGGTTATTGGTCCTAATGTCATACCTTGATCCAGGGGAAATTGAACGAGCTCATTTTCTCACATCAGCTTCCTGTAGATATCTTCAAAGCGCATGACACATATCAACAATTTTCGTGTAACGTTCTTGAAATTCACTGAACCTATATACCCGTGAAGCTTTTTTAACCAAAGCAGTCAACCCATTTGTCTTGAATTTCTTAAAGACATTGGTCAACAAGTGATGACTGCAAATTACATGTCTTGATTGAGGGTAGACAGTACCAAGCGCTTTAGCAATTGACGCATTTCTATCTGGCACAAAAGCTAGGCCGTTACTATCAGCGATAACAACATTCAGTTGTCTAAAGAACCACTCCCATGAATCATAATTTCCTGAATCAACAACTCCAAATGCGATTGGATATAAATTGGAGTTACCATCTACAGCTGTAGCCACAAGTAGAACACCTTTGGAATCGATTATTAATGAAATTTGGCTTAATTTAACTCCGTTTAAATTTTTTAATTTTATTTTTAAAAAGTACCCATTTGTGCATAATCGAAAAATAGAAACCACACTTCTCAATGGGTTAATAACTATCTTTTGACTTTAAGATATTTTTACCATATTCGTTTTATTAATTTTTACAATACTGAAATAAAATAATAGAACAAATTTTAAATATTATAGATATCTAATAATAGACATAAATTCACTATATATTTGACTTTATGGTCAATAAAAATATAAAAATCACGGGTCAAAATCTAAATTACTTCATCTACAAGTAAATTTATTACGGCCAACTATTTAATTTACTTTAAGTATATCAACCAAAAATATCTAAACTGCACCTACTTATATTTTCTACCATGATTTTGGGAAACCTAAATTGTTACAAAATATTCTTTCATATCTTCTCTTAACCTAAATTGACAACAACCTTCTCCTTTTATAAATATAAGCTATCTCGGACCCCTTTTACCATCAACTCAGTCAAATTCGAAAACACCATCAAACCCCATCAAAGTATTTATTCTGAAATATTTGGGTTTACGATCAACAAAAAAAATACATGCGCTTCTTAAGCGCGGGTCAAAATCTAATTCATTCATTAAAAATAAAAAATTTGGTGGCGAAAATACCTTACTTTTGTCAGATGAGTCCATACTTAAAAGGGATCTCCGTACATAAATAACATTTCCTTAGCCATCAACATCACCAATTTGTCAACCATAGGCCCCAGAAAATACTTAAGCAATGACATCCCCAATTATGCCTCTTCTTTGCCACTACATGTTCTATGGATCGTCAACCCCACGCAAGAGCGGAGTTATTACCATTGGTATTGTGTTGTTTTTATCCATGAAGGAGTGACTCATGTGTTAGGGAAGTTCTTTTGGAGACTGTGAAATGCATTAGATTATTTATTGATTCATCAAAGTTTGTGGTCAGGTTTTGTAAATGAATGTTTGTTGATATAGGGATGGATTGTTTTATGTTTTATGTTTTATTGGACTTGGGTATATATGTGTATATTATGGTATTAAAATGTTGTTTTAACCGTAGACTATAACTATTTAGTTTTTTTTTTCATTTGTTTTCATTTAAACATCGAAAGTTCTTTTTTAAAGAGAAAGGAAACAAAATCAAGAGCTTTATGCTCTCAGTCTGAGTGCATGGCTACAAAGCATACATTTATGCAATGTTTACATGAGCTATGTTTCTTTAGGAATGCATGTCACCATGAACGTGTAGTGACTGATGCATTTAGTTATGGACCTTATCAATATGCAAAATGCAGTCAACACTACCTTTTTTAAATAAAAACTTAGCAATTTTCCTCTTCATTGGAGGGAGTTTGCCGGAAATTAAAGAGAAAAACCAAAGTTAAAAATAATATATATAATGGATTCAAAATCATAACAACTCTGAAAATACAGAACATACAAACCGAAACTATCATTCACGCGTGCATTAGCGGCTATTCTCTTCTGCTTCAAAACCGGCAGGATTTGGTTCATCATCTCTTGCTACAACAATTTTGCTGACAAATGCAGCTGCATCTTCACCTTTGTTTATCACTTATGTGAGAATGTAAACTGCAGGCCTAATAACACAGAGGAAGACATTCTCGAAGGATACGTCTGACTTTTAGCAAATAAATCAAAGAATAGAGGGTGTCGGTGTATGTGGATTGGACTCACGAACCTTTTTTTATTTATAGAGTTTGAATTGCTCTTCTGATTTTAAAACGAATAAAGTTTGGATCGTAAATAAAAGGAGATGGAGAGTTGATAAACCATGATTTTAACCTGCTTTTAGCCATGCTATTGATATGTTTTTATAAGTTTTATATATGTTTTGGAGTCTATTAGGTATGTTTTCAGGTTCATGAGCACTTTGGAGTAAAGTGATGATTTAGGTGCCCTTTTGGAGCTTAAAGGAGTGTTTTCCGAGATGACTATGAAGATCAGACAATGAGGATACATATCGGTCGATACACATCCTGTGTAATCGATCGATGACGCTTCTATTGAAAATGAAGTCGAGATACCCCATCGATCGATGTACACCTTGTACCATCGATCGATATGATGCGTGGAGAACAAGTCCAACTTGGCCGACTTGAAGCCCAAGTCTTCCAAATATTACAATAATGCCCCTGACGAGTTTTTAACCTAATGGAAGTCATATTTATAGTTTTTGCCTATATGTTTGGCAAAGTATGCTTTTACATGCTTTGCATGCCTTTTGAATGTTTATATTGTTCTAGTTACTTTTGTACTTGAAAAACTTTGCATACTTTTCTTGTTACTTTGTTCTATTCTATAAAGTATTTCTTTTCATCTTAATTTGTAAAAGGTTATAGAATTCTAGATTTAGAAGAAACACACAAAGAGATTTGTTGTTCCAAGAACCAAAAGTTCAATCTTCTATCTATGAGTTTCTATTACTACCTTGTTGTTATGAATCTCTCAGTTATGTCTGAGTAGATTGCTTTGTTAGATTTAGGGTTCAAATAGTTATGAGGGATTAACCCCAACTATGGAATGTTGAATTGTTGATATTCATTATCCAAATGAACCTTAATGCTTACTCTAGAGTAGCTACCTAGAGTATAATAATGGATGTGATTCAACTTGTTAATCATTGTCATGAAATCATTTGGCATGAGCTTAGATCCTCTAGGGTTGTGCGAGAGCCGGTCTATGATCTTGGTGAACACAGTTTTTCTTCGATCTTATGCTATATCGATCAATACTCCTATAGAGTCATCGATCGACAGCAACCCATATCGTCCGATA